CTCTTCCTTCCTTCCTTCCTTCCTTCCTTCCTTCCTTCCTTCCTTCCTTCCTTCCTTCCTTCCTTCCTTCCTTCCTTCCTTCCTTCCTTCCTTTCTTTCTTTCTTTCTTTCACAATCTTTTCCTTTCATATTCTCCAGTCATTCCACAAAGTTGGCTGCTGGTGTTTCTTGAAAGGTGGCAGGGGACAGGGAAGCGAGGAAGTAAGCCAGCAAACAAAGATGGGAACTTCCCAGATATTTGGCCTAGTTAGAAATCTGCAGGATGCCTGTAGCCAACTGCAGAAGCCTGCAGGAAGAGTCAGGCATCTTTTCAATGCCCCACTGCTGTCACTGTGGATGGCTGATTGAGTGATGCAATGGTCTGATTTCCTGGAGGGATGACGTGGTGGGTGAGTCTCGATAATTTCTTGTAAACTATAAATAATGCCACGGAGCATAAGTCTCCCGTGCTGTGGTCCTTCTTTTCTTTCAAACCTATAAATGGAGCATTCCTGAAGGCCTATAAACCATGCACAGGTTTGAATTTCAGAGCAGATCCACCCTGCGCATCTCTGGGTTACGGTGATGCATTGAGGCTGCTCGCAAGAATCAATCCGTACAGAAGTTTCCTGCTTACGGTTCTTTTCTGTTCTGAGCACCGTAAGGACTGAGAAGGGGAGCAACACTGCTTCTATTCTGGCCCATAACTCCTCTTGCCTCATTGTACGGTGCCTAGTCATGGAGCCAACCAGTCTGACAAAGGAGAGACAAATAGCCTGGGCCATGATTTAGCTCGCTGTGAGCAGGGAGCTTTTTATTCTCTTGTACGGGGAAGACATTGCATGGTTTGGAAGACATCTGCCCTCCCTCTCTCCTCTCCAGGCCAGCTATTAATTGCCATTTGGGTGGGAGTAGCTAAAGAAGGGAACGGGCCCTGCACTGGACAGAACACGGGGGTGAGATGGGTCATATTAACGTAGCCTTTTCTCTTTGCTGTACAGCTTATCTCCAGTGATGCTGATGGGGCCATTCAGAGGGCTGGCCGGTTCCGAGTGGAAAATGGCTCAGTTGATGAGGTGGGTGGAAACTCCCTATGTTGACGAGGAGTTGGCTTTGGGGAACAGATGCCATGTTTCTACTCCCTGTCCACCTAGGTTGCCCCGCCTAGCCAGCGTAGGCTGGTTTTTGAAACTAAGTCATGCCAGGCTTGTGTTTGGGTGGGACCATGAAACCCCAAGGCTGCAGGCTCAATGGGGTAGCTGGAGAAACATCTCAGAAGGCAATGGCTACCCACTTCTGTACTGTGGCCAAACAGACTACATGGGAGCTTCCATTAAGTCCACAGGAGTTGAGTTTGACTTGAAGGCAACTCTACTTTGGGTGTATGTTGAATCCCCAAGCTTACCAGTAGCCCACGTATGCCTTAGTTGCTACCAATACCCTTTTCCCTTTCTTTCTCTTTCCCATTGGATGTTCCCAGTGGGTCTTGCTCTGTGGAATAGTCCTCCACAGTTTCTCTTTCTATTTCAGAATGCCGATTACACTCCTGGCACATGGCACAGAACAGACGTGCATTTGGAGAACCCAGGATATCATACCCGATGGTACTTCAAGTATTTTCTAGGAAAAGGTAGTAATGCTTTCTGGTGTGTGTGCATGCATAACACATCAGTGGTTTAGAAACAAGGCTGAATAAAGAATTTGTGCCATAATCATTCTCAGCCTCTTCTGCGTGGTGTCTGTTTCTTGACCTGGCCTCCCTTGAAGGTCTGGAAACAATAGAGGTACATAGTTTAAGGCCCTGAGGCCCTTTTCAGTCCCCCAAATCCTTGCTCGCAGCCCTGGGCCCCTCCCAAATGCTGCTGCCGAATTGTAATTTTTACTGTGAAAGAGGAAGAAATATTAAATCCACAAGATCGGCTATATTGACTCTGCTGTGTTTTAATTTAATTTAAATGAAAACGAATTGAATTGAGTCTCATTTGTTGTCCGAAGCCTCCTATCTCTTTGTCCTGGCTGCAAGCTTATTTTTTGGGGCAATTGGGTGTAGCTCTTTGGCCCAAAAAGAAACCGCTCATCCTTGCGTTACGGGGTTGCCAACGCTGTGTGTGTTGTTTTCCAGTTCATCAGAACTATGTTGGCATGGATGCAGAGAAGAACCCCTTCTTTTTATCCGTTGTGCTGTCTGACCAAAACAATCAGCGTGTCCCTCAATATCGTGCAATCCTCTGGAGAAAAACAGTAAGTGGTCGATCCTCCTGTTACGATACGCTTGTCTATTTTAGCTCAGCTGCCCAGCTTGTAATATTTGGTGTAATCTGTAGTCTGGCCTAGGCAGGCTTTTTCTCTCTTTTGGCCTGCAAGAAAATCCTCAGGTCTATCGGAAGTCTGACAGCCTCTCTGTTAACGCAATTCTATTACAGGGTACCCAGAAAATCTGCCTCCCTTATAGTCCTACGAAAACCTTGTCTGTGAAATCCATTTTAAGGTAAGGAGAAGCCGTAGGTTACCTGTATTCTGGGGCCTGTTGCACAAACAGGACCTGAAACCACTGCTTTGATCGTCTTTCAGTGCCATGAATCTTGACAAATTTGAGAAAGGCCCTCGAGAAATCCTTCACCCGGAAATTCAAAAGGTAAATCAAGCGGAGTTTTTACCGTAAACCACCCAGACTGCTTTGGCTAGTGGGTAGTTTAAAAAAAAATGTTTTAAGTTCTAAATAAATAAGTCTGTTCTTTCTTTTGAGGGAAGGCAGAAGGAATTACAGGGAATGTTTATGGTATTAATGGAATTTATATGGCCGCCCATCTCAAATACATGATTTTGGATGACTAACAAGGGTTAAAACAAGATAAAAATAATAATCCCAAGTAATAAATAACATGCATGGCTGCTGAGATTAAAAAACAACAACAGCAACCAAGAACCATTAACACAATCATGATATGGGCACAACCACACACCCTGGTGCCCCAGATGTGGTAACAAAACCAGGTCTTCAAGGACTTATAGAAGACCCACAGGGTTGGGGCAAGTCTGGTCTCTGGGGGATGATGTTCCAGAGGGTGGGTGCCATGACAGAAAGGGGTCTCTTCCTGGTCCTGCCAGATGATACTCCCTAATGGGTGGGAATTTGAAGCCCTGGTTCTGGTTTCACATTTTGCATCCCAAAACAAGTGAATATTAAAAAGGTTTCTCTCTCTCTGTGTCTCTCCCTCTCTCTCTTTTTCCCTGCAATCCAGGATTTATTGGTCCTTGAAGAGCAAGAGGTAATCTGCAGAGCCATTGAACAAATCTGGGTCTTTCTCTAGACTAGAGCGTTGCTCCACTTTTTGAGATGTTGTGGTTGGAGGTTGAGGTCAGGAGCCAGGAAACCCTTTCAGGTGGTCCTCCTTTGCAGATCCACTTCTGGGACAACCTTCCATATTCAGATTAAATTCAATTTGGCCAGGAGGTCTTGGGAGGGAAGAACGACCCCTTCATGGATACTCTGAGAAAGACATCCTTGAATGAGGATTTTTCCCTGCAGGATATGATGCTTGGTGCTCTCTGAGTTTGGTTGTTTGCTTGTAGACGTTTCATTACCTGACTAGGTAACACCATCAGTGCTAGTGAGTGTGTGGGGTTTATTCCCTGTTCATATGCAGTAGCTTGCCCTTCTTATATGATGCTAATTCCCCTTCTCCAGCCAGCCCTAGCGAACAACATAACTGCAAGCAAGCAACCAATTTAGCATTCTTACAAGTTCTGGAACCAAGGGAGAAATCTTCTGGGTCTGCCACTTGATTATTTTCATTTTAACATCCTTTGGCAGCATTCTTGCAAATGATTTTGGATTTACAAAAGCAGGAGATAAATACTTTCAGAGATTAATACATCATAAGAGACTTATCCGCCAATCATCAAAGCTTCATTTCGGTCATAGAGCAGCATAAAATTATAAGCAAGAAAAATTACAGCCATTTCAATGTATAAAAGATAACTAAAAGCTAGGACGGCTAACACGATACTATCAAATTAAAACACAAACATTCTCTATAACATTCTTAATATGAATGCTAAAGCGGGGCTTCTCAAGGCCACAAAAAAGATGTAAAAACCGATAAAGATAAAAAATAAATAAAAATGAAAGGGGTATTCTCAGTAAGTTTACTCATGCCCAGTACCCTTATTATCTGTTTGCAAATTTTAAAGGCTGCTAGGCAACAATCTAACAATGTTGAATGTCATAACGTTTTTCTAAACCCCCTGGCTATAATGACGGAAACTGCATTTTGGTCTAATCTGATTAACGCACAATTTCTGTGTCTCTCAGGGTTCTGTCAATTTCAAGTTTGGGATTCTTTATGCCAAAGATGGGCAGCTAACAGATGACGAAATGTTTAGCAATGGTGAGTGGGCAGATTGATTGACCTCCTCTGTCTTCACCTCCGTTGTCTTCTCTAGGCAATAGGGACTTCATGCATCTGCCTGAAATGAGGGTGGTGGGGAATGTTTGTGGTAGTCCCAGTAGAGTCATCAGTGCTGAGTGTAGAGCTTGGTGCTCTTTGCTTGCTAAAGGGTGATGGGAGGGAAGTTGTGGAGGACACCAGGTTGAATTGACTGATCTAGATCAGATATGACCAGCTTTGCTGGGGAAAAAGAACCCCCGTAACACCTCACTCTCCTAATCTTCCAAAGTAACCAAGAGTGACTTGTTTTATTTTCATTGGGGCACTGTAAGCAAAATCTGCCTGTGCTGCTTCTCCTCCACCATTGTTAACAAATGAACAGTGGTCTTCTTGCAACAGATCGCTCTCGATCCATCCCTTTCTTTTGTTTCCATCATTCTGCCAAGGGAAACATTGAGGATACCACAATCATCATGACGCTGGACATGATCTTGCCCATTTGACTTTCCCTCCCACCCGCCACCCCCAATGAAAAAAGATGAAGCTGCATTGTAACCATGCTCAGTTCCTACAAGCTTTCCTCTTGGTGTTAACCTGCTCCTGCCAGCAGCACAAAATTAAATTAAATTAAATGGTTTGCAGCAGCTTCTTGGGAAGTCTGCTCTTCTCACAAATTTCATTTGAAAAGATGTCCCCAGTGGCTGCTGGTATGGATCCATCTTGTCTTCCACTAAAACGTTTGCCTGCGTTTCGCAATTTGTTTTCTCCTCCTGTTTCCAAACAGCAACTAGAGATATTTCAGTGTCAATGCTTTCAGAACATTCTGTGTTTGTATGACTAAAAAACTCTGGCAACTCTTAACACTGTGGTTACATTTGCAAAGCCAGCTTGACATATTTGCGTGCTCAACAGTCAGAGTGAAACAAAAATACCGCTCGCTTTGCTTCCTCATCCCACCCCAACACCCTTTTCTTATTCTCATCATTGAATAATCAGTGTTTTCAGATACGGAATTTAGCCTGGCTCTTGAATGGGGCCACAGGTTTAAAGAAAGATGTTGCTAAAAGCTTTTAAATCCATCTTCTGCCCTCTACAGGTTGAACTGTTAGCCCTTGTCAAGTGAGAAATTGAACTTTCTGCAACAGTGCTTGCTTTTCCCTATTTGCTCTTCTGCTATATGTCCTTTCTAAGTTTTGAGTGAACGCATCTCTTGGGATCAAACTGAGCATCCCTGGCTTGTTTTAGAGCAGTACATGCCCATTTAAGGCCACCGATTGTTGCTGGTTCTCTGATTGCAAATGTGATTTAGCAAGATGGGTGAACAAGGATAAGTATTGGCTTGTGGGTTCCTAGCTGGTCCCTGGTTTGTCTTTGTGCTCAGCTTAAGCCTCAGCATTGAAGGAGCAAGGCCAGAGGAGCTAAAAACAGAAGGGAAAACAAATCAGGAATTGACCAAACAAACTGTGATTACATAGCTCCTCTGTAAAACGGGTAGGCTGACTTGTTGATCCAACCAGGGTTAAAACAAAGCTTAGCATTCTGTGTGCATGAGTGTGGTATCAGGGATGTCTTGGCACGTGGCGTTCTTGAAAGCTCAAAGCATCAACGGAGGAGACGGAGACCAGTCCTTTTTGAGGTTTTAGGAATTTTGGAATGGACATGCACATCCCTCGCTGTGTTCCTGAAAAAGGTTGTAAGCGCTGGGCAGAAGTTACTGCTCACTAGGGTCCTACCAGTTGTATTTCTTTCAGAATAAAAATGGCAGTTGGCCTTAAGCGAATCTTTGGAAAATTAAAGTGCCACCGGAAACCACTGAGGACAACCCTCAGGGGACTCTACTATGGGAGAATGCCAGGTGCTACACTTTAAGGACTTTGTGATGGAGGAGGTTATACAAGTACAAGCATTCCCACCTCCGACAGTCAAGTTTTGAGAGGAAGCATAATCTGTGTGTTTTTGACAATCAAATCTACCTCTTGGGTCTCTGAGGAAGCCTTCTCAACAATCCAAGGATATGTTTAACATCTTCCTATGCCTTCCCTGACCCCATCTCATTTATTTCTTATGTGTAGAAACTGGCAGTGAAAGTTTTCAGAGGTTGTTGAGTCTCTTGGGGGACACAGTTACTCTCAAGGGCTGGACTGGCTACAGAGGAGGATTGGACACCAAAAGTAAGTGGCTGTTTTGTATTCTGTGTTTCTACCCAGAGAAATGTAGGGGTGCACCATATTTTGCATGGAGGAGGAAGATCCTTTGAGGACTCTACTCCAGAAACCCGACAGGGGCAGGATAAAGAGATAGATGGGGTCAATGCAAATCAACTTAAAATGATGCAGATCAACTTAAAATGATGGAATTGAGTTTTGTCCTGATAGCATCTGCAGATGAGATTCTAACTCAGTGTTTTTCAAACTTGGCAACATTAAGATGTATGGACTTCAACTCCCAGAATTCCACACATGAAGTCCACACATCTTAAAGTTGCCAAGTTTGAAAAATATTGTTCTCAATCAACCCTCCAAATGTTATTTCCCTCTTTTCTTTTTGCAGATGACACAACAGGGCTTTATTCTATCTATACCGTCTACCAAGGGCATGAGATCATGTTCCACGTTTCAACCATGCTTCCATACTCGAAAGAGAACAAACAGCAAGTATGTGGTTTCCCATATTGGTTTCTCTTAGCAGGCTGCAAGCCACGATCCTAGGAAGGAAATTAGGGGCTGAGGGGCACTGAAGCATGTTTAGGCTATCCAACATCATTATGACCAGGGGTTGACAAGGCCAAGTACAGTGAGGAACAGTTAAATGAGTTAAATAATCTGAGCCTTGGCAAGGAAGGGTGAAGGGGAGAGATGGTAAAGTCTTAGAGTTGGAGGGACACATTGAGTTCAACCTTGACGCAATATAGGAACCCAGTTAAATGGATTCCCAGCAGATATTTGTCCAACCTCTGTTTAAATACATCCAATAAAAGGAAGCCATTATTTCTGGTCATTGGTTCCACTCTCAAACTATTCTCAGCGTTAGCATGTTTTCATAGTGCTCAGTAGGAATCTGCTTACCTGTAACTGGAGACCACTAGCTCATGCTTTCTGGGTGATGGAGAACAGGTCTTCACCTCCTCTATCTGGGGGGCTGTCAGATATTGGAAACATGCTGGTCCTTCTTTTCTCAGACCTAAGCACCCTCAATGTATTTAATCTCTCCTCGTAAGAATTTCCAATCCCCTGATTATCTTTGCTGCTCTTCTCTGCACCTGTACCAATTGGTGTGTGAATTCCACCTAAAATATGATGCTGAAAACTGGACTTGAGGTAGAATCTGTCTAATGCAGGCTAGATCAGGACTGTTGCTGCCTACAGTTTGGAAACACAGAGTGAAATTGCAGCTGTACTTCTCACAAACTCATGTTCAGTTTCTGGTCAATTACAATCCCAAGATCTATTTAATATATACAATGACCAAGCTATATTAGTTGGGAAGCACAGGAAGTGAAATCCAACGTTTCTGACAGATGTTAGATTGAGTTAGTTTCTCCAGGGAATGTAAATAGGTGTTTGCTGGGAATCCTAGAGCTGAGATATATTTGATTCTTCTTTTGTAGGTGGAAAGGAAGCGACACATTGGGAATGACATTGTCACCATTGTGTTCCAAGAAGGAGAAGAAGCTTCTCCAGCTTTCAAGCCGTCCATGATTCGCTCTCACTTCACACGTATCTTTTTCCCCCTTACAACCCTTGACTTGCTTCTCGCGTCTGCTTTTTTCTCCTTTAAAATAGATTGGGCTTTTAACTTTCCCTCCAAGGTTTGATGGAGTGCTTCCTTGGCATCACTGATGGAACACCAATGCATGTTTTGAAACACATCATAGCTGGAATTCAAACATCTCTCAAGTGTGGTTTGAAACATGGAGCTTCTAAGCACATTCTACAAATACTTTTGTAGAAGGGACTCCATTCTTAGCCATGTGGAAATGTTTTATAGAGATGGAACCAGTCCCCCTGGCTTCTTCTGAACCATGGCTAAGTGTGACATCTAAATAATTCCAGGCTGCAAACCCTATGCTTCAACAGGCATGACTTTAGCCATGCTGGAATTCCTAGAATTTAGCAACGTGTAACTTTTTTCGAACAATAAATGAGTAGTTCCAAATAGTAAAAGAGGATTATCCTTAAAAATAGGATTTTGGTCAACATGGCCATTAGAAGCACAACTGTCAATGCTTCTTCCCTCTCTTTATGATGTTTCTTTGCATGATTTTTTAAAAAATCCTCTTAAGAAAGGTTGATCTAATGTTTCTGTTTTATTTCTTGCCCTATCTCTGTTGTTAAAACACTGTTGTTTTGCATTTCATTAAACCTGATCATTGTTCTAATGAATTATCAGCTGCTTTGCGCGATGTAGAAACATCAGGAGTGTCTATGTGTTATATGTCAATAAACAGGGTCATGGCATTTCCCAGCTCCTCCAAGCACAAGAAAACAAATTTGCTGAAATTAGTTCAAAAAAGGCAAAATGATTTTGTTGTACATTTGGGGACTTACTGGGATTAAGGCAGCAAATCAGAATCAGATTTTATACCCACACCTGGCTATACTGTATTTTTACATTTCTAATTATGCTCAACTGGAGTCTAATTGGAGTGTAATTTGATACCCGTGTTGCAAAGGTATTTCAATGCATTGCTGAATTGGATCTTTCTTTGTCTTAATTCCTGCCAACATTTGCTGGGGGAGGGGAGGAGAGCCTTTACAAAGGGTGGCCCTTGGCATGGTAGTTGAGGATGGGTATCCTTAACTAACACTACAGATATCTTTGGCTTAGTGCGATATAATAAACAAAGCGATAGCTACAGGTGGGTGGTAACTATGATCCAAGCATTCCTTCTGATAATTTAAAATGGCGTGTTGCGACCTTCAGCGCAATGGGATATTGCCCAAAACACCCCTTGAGAGGGAAAACCCAAGGCTTTGAAAAACATCAATTAAAAAAAAAAAAAAATCAGAAATCATCCTCCATGTCTCAGACTTATGTATTTCCCCAGATGTTTAGATCCTCCCGCCACCTTCGCAGGACCTAGCTGAATGTCAGCAATGTACAAAGTGTGTTTCTGAGTATGTTTCTACATGCCTTTTGTTCTTGATCAACTGTTGGAATGAGAGTCCGAAATTCTGAGCCAAATGCTGGTTTTTTTGGTCACCTTGACTCCAAACCTTGATGGTTTCATGGGAGATCTTGATTGAGAAGGATGATGGCCCTTCAGTGACTCACTATTCAAGTTATTTAGTTGTTAAACATTGTGTTTTTCTTGCAGTGGGAGACCTCAACTTGGTTCACAGTATTCATAAAATGTAGCCTTTCTATCTTACTCAGCCATCAATGTTAATTTAGGGTTTGAGGACTGCTTGGGGGGTGGGACATGGAGGGAGGTGCCACTGAGCCAGCTACATTTTGTGGGTCTGATTGATTTATGCCCCATCTTTCCTCCCTAAGCTCAAAGTGGCTGACACGCATCGTTCCCTGTTCTCCAATTTTTGTCACATAAACTCACCCAAGTCTCTATCTTTGTATAACTTGGCCTCTTTGTATGCTGTTCTCTCAAATAGCATTTGAGGGCAACTTACACAGAAATATTGATTCACAGGACGGGGGAGGTGATTTCCTCTCAGCCTGCTGAACAGCTGGGAATTCAGCTGTGGCCTAACTGTATGATTATTACTCATCTATTATTTTATTATTATTCCCTGTTAATCATTTTTGTTCATCTTCAGTTATTTTACTATTGACACACTTTAATTACATTATTATTCACCTCATAGGTAGTTGAATGTCGACCATATTTTAATGTGTTTGACAGATATTGACGTGGGGAATAATTCTCGTCTCAAATAATCAGATTTTCTTTCTCTCTTTTTCTCCCTCCTTCCCTTCCTTCTCCTCCTCCCTAGGCTGAAAATCTTTTCAGAAGAAAGGGTACCTCTCTTTGGACCTCCTCTTCCTTCCCCACCAGTGTTTACGGACCACCAGGAATTCAGGGACTTTCTGCTGGTGAAATGTAAATATTAAACATTCCTCTATGTGTCCTAAACTTAACTTCAGCACGGGGATGCTTTTCTGAAATTGCCCCGCAAAGCCACAACGCCAGGCATAATCCACCCAGTGCCTTGGCAGGACTATCTCCAGGGAAGAAGGAAAACCTCTGAAGTAAATATTTAGTTGGACTGACACATATATTCCTCGCCAGTAGTCTTGTTATGGTTGCAATGTTCTCATCGGAGCTAGAATTCAATGGTGCGAGCAAGGAGTTCTTTAAAGGGTTATTTTTCAAGAGTGGCTCCAGATGCTGTTTTTATTACTCTTCACATGTATATACTGCCTTTTCTATGGGAATATGGGGTTGCTCCTCTAATTTAACCAAATGAAACAGACAAAATAGGTTGGACTGAGATTGACCGACCCAAAGAAATCCAGTGAACTCTGGGCTTAATGGGGCCCTTGAATCGGGGTTTTCCTATTCCTAAACCAACACCTTGATCTCACCCTTTTCTCATAGTTTACCGAGTCGTAATCCTGAAATCTCTGTATTTACCTCTGTGCTTGTGTTAGGTTAACAGAAAGCAATAGAGATGCTTAGCAGGTTAATTTTTCCACATGGCCTCTCTTTGTAAAGTGACCTAGTGAAACCAGGGACTTCCCCAGCTCTTTCCCACAGCCCATGGTGCGTTCCGACATTTTTAATAAGAATCGCATGCATCGGAGGTCGTGGGGGAGATAGGCAGATTCACGTGCCTCTGTTTTGCCACTGTGCAGTGATCAATGGGGAGAAAGCCACTTTGGAAACACCAACGTTTGCTCAGAAGCGGCAGCGAACGCTGGACATGCTAATTCGCTCCTTATACCAGGATCTCATGCCTGACATACACAAGGTAAGCTCAGATGGCGCGCCTGAGGTCATCCCATCCAACCTCCGGCTTTGTCCTCTGGTCCCATCTCGGAAACGTCCGATCTCTCCAAGATGTCAGTCTCTTTCTTCAACCTCCGGCCCTGGCGGCGGTTGTGTTTGTTTCTAGAACATGCTTAACAGGAGATCCTTCAGCGACGTCTTACCCGAGTCCCCCAAATCAGCGCGGAAGAAAGAAGAGGCCCGACAGGCGGAATTTGTCCGTCTTGGCCAGGTGCGTGTTTGTGGGTGAAGAGGTGTGGTGATTTTTATCAGGAGGAGGTCATGCTCTGGGAAACCAGGAGAAGGTTTGGGTGGGTCTCTTCCCCAGGGCGGGAGGGTTCAGATGAGATAAGGGCCACGCTGAGGTGGTTCAGACCAGGGACCCGACTCCAGAAGGAGATGAGAGCTAAGCTTTATTGAGACAGGCTAAAATAACTGAATCATACAAGCTGGATGGTGCTTCTCCTCTCCTCCTTCTTATACCCCCTTAATCTGGAGAAGCCATCCTGAGTCTCTTTCAGCCATCCTGAGGATGCTACTTTCAGACTTGCAGGATTGATGTCAGCCTTGCGGGGTAAACCAGACAGGAATCATGACCAAAGGAGCTAATTCTACTTTATTGTAAAGCTACATTGACAGAATCTTGCAAGTCTGAAAGTACAACTCTTCCCCCGTCTCCTTTACAGCCTGAGAAACTAGGGAGGGTCCCTTCTGAGACTTTTGCCACGTCCACTATCCAGTTGTGGGCTACACTGCCTCTTATCTGTCTGTTTCCTTGGCAGCATCTCTTTGCCCACTCTCCCAAAGCCTTTCCCACATACCATTACCCCGCCCTTGTTTCTGTAACGGCTTCTGAATATTTCTCTTAAGGTCATCTCCATGGCTGCCTACACAAACTTAGAATGAGGAGCTGCACAATGTTTATCCCCCTTCTGCAAAAAACCCCCAAAAAACCAAAAAATGGGGGAGCGGGGGCTCTTGTGTGGTTCCTTGTGTGTTGTTGTTGTGTTATTATTATTATTATTTCTTCATTTTAAGGCCCTCAAACTGAAAACCATTGTGAGGGGTGATGCCCCAGCTATTTTAGCCACCACAAGCCTCTGTAAAAAAGAGGTGAGTGAATTGTTCGGGGGGTGAAGCTTTGCAAGTGGGAAGACAGTTTGCTTAAAAAGAAAACCAGATTGACTTTTTTGCTTTCAATAAAAGATCTGGGCTTGGAAGCCAACTGTTTTGTGTCCAGCTCAATGCTAGAGGCGCCAAAACCAAGGGATGGCAAACATAACTCTGAATACCCTTCCTGAGATAGGGAACTTGTGGTTCTCCATCCAGTTCTAGACCACATGTCTTGGATTCCTTCACCACTAAGAGAGCATGCTAAATTACAAAACACCCATTTTCCAGAAGGCAAGCTGGTGAGATACTGTCCCCTCCCTTACTGGTTTCCTAACTTTCCTCTGATTGATTTTTTTTTTTCTGGAGAGGTGGTGGAGCATCTGCATTTAAAATCTGTAAGCCACCACTGTCACTTTCCTAGAATCCTGTTGGGTTTTTGCACAGCCCAAAGGAATGCCTGCAGATAAAAACATTGCCAGGAGTTAAGACTTTGCTCGTAACAAGCCAACTTCCCCTTTTTCATTTCTAATTTGGGGGGGGGGAACTTTGCCTATGGGGACAGGGACCATGGGTGGCATTTTGTCATTCCTCTGTAGTAAGGGTGCTGAAGAATTCTAAGGCATCACCTTGCCTTCATTTCCAAGGTCTCTTTCTCCCCATTGACTCGCCGTCCATAATTGTCTTCTCCTGCAGCCCTGGGAGTCTCAATGCTTCTGCAGCAATTTCCCACATGAAGTTTTCTGTGCAGATTCCTGGGGCCAGTCCCTGCTTGTCTCAACAGATGTTGGTGTCCTTCTCTTAGACGGTTAGTAGACGGTCCCACGGTGGTGAGAATGTCCGTAATGGCCATCTTTTCATTCCCCTTCATTGTGAAACAGAGAAAACAAATGCTAAATTTGTTCCTCTCTCAAGGTGCCATGGAGAGCTCTCAGCAGTCTTTCTGAGCAAGCTTTTCATGGTCAGAAAAGCCATACAGTGATGCTCCCCTTTGACTCTGTTTCCTAAAAATATAGGAGTCAATCTTTGGCATCAACCCCATGCAGAAATCTAGCATAGCTAGAATCCTTCTGCTTCATGCTTTTTTTAAAAAAAAAATAATAATTAGGGATCTTTTGCTATGGGAAAGACATTCAATCACCGCTTTGCATATCCTACTGCATGAAACGGTTGTGGATTTTCTCTTTTCGTGTGTGTATTGTAATTAAGTTTTTAATAATATCAAACAACCACATGCTAAAAAAGGAAAAACAACTCGTTACTGAAACTAATCCCCCAGAACCTAAGGAAAAAAAAAAGAAATGGTAAAACTCTATCTGCATGACTGTGCCGTATAATTTTGCTGAATGTACTGCTTAATTTTGAATGAAACCAAAGCCATGGAGTCCAGTATGTTTGACACTCACTTCTTGCTTTTTTCCCCCTCTGGCCTAGAAAACACTCAGGGCTGCACCCAAACCATCAGTCTGATTTTAGGCTTCCTCAAAAAAGAAATCTGTCATTTGAGCTTGTTTTGACTTTGTTTTTATCTCCTGTTGAAAAAAGAACACGACTTATCGTTGCGTAGATGTTCTAGAGCTTCAGTGCTTTGCCCTCTTTCCTCTCCAGATGGGCAACCTCCCATCCCAGTGTTCGATAAAACATTGCAGATCAAACAGATGCACATACTTGAAACGTTGGACCTTCTAATTACCAGAGCAGACAAAGGTAAGAAACACCATTGAGCTATTTGGGAGAATAATATCCCCCAATGTCATAACAGAAAGCTAAGGAAAGGAACACTTTTTTCCCCCGGTGTGCAGAATTTTCCCCAGCATGCAGGACCAAAATATCCTTCAGCATTGCCACCTAGATTTGAGCTGCTCTTGCCTTTCCTTCAAAGCATTTAATCGGCGTTTACTTTTGAGGAAGGAACATTTCCGCCTCCCTCCCTTGAAAATGATCTCGGCGTGTTCTGGGCTAAACAACAAGTTTGATTAGCTTTCTCCAACTTGACGCCCTCCCCAGCACCCTTAGCTGCAAACCTTGGGCCTGTTGTCTCAGCTAACTGGAACTGTGGTCCAACTTCTCTGGAAGGTGCCTGATTGACAGTGGCTGTCTTGTGCTGTTCAACATCACTCCTCCATGAAATGGGGGTCTGGAACCATTCTGTATCTTCTAGCAAAAACGGGGTTGGCTGTTGGAACCTTTCCTGGGAATTGCTGGAGCAGATACAATTACACAAAGGCAGCCAGCCGGTGGGAGCCTGCTGTCTAACCAAAGACTGCTGTTTCACCAGAGATAACACAGCAAGCCATGATTGGTTGAGGAACATGGCAGGAGCAAAAGACACCACCACCACCACCTCTTTCTTGATTCAAAGACCCCTGTTTTTTTCAGCTTCTTCCTGCATTCATTCTGCCTTCCATCTCCTGACTTAAATTTGGGGCCCAAATCACTCCTTTTTCATGCCTGGAATCTGCTCTTCCTTCTGAGCTTCATCAAGTGGTGGATGGGGGAACTGCCACATAGAATGTCTCTCCTTTTGAGTCAGAGAACTTGCTTATCTAGCCTACCTTAGGATGTTTAGTTCTTGCATTGAACTTTGGGTTAGCTGCCTCGATTGCCCTTCTGCAGATGGAAAGGTGGGGTATAAATGAGATGATGATGTTGATGATCATGATCATGATCATGATGAGGATCATGATGGCCATGATGATGTAGCCCTCTTAACATGGTTGCTTGCCTTCCATCCGGTAGGGAAGGAGGCACGGCTTCTGGTGTTCAGGCTGAATGCCCTATGGAAAGGCATCGAAGCGAGGCTAACCAGGAGCAAAAGTGATTGTCGAGAAAACAAGTTGGAGAAAACAAAAGGTATTGTAGAACTCTCTTGTCAGAGACCAAAGGACCTTTGAAGCAGATGCTTCTGCATTAGTAGCTTGCCACTGGGGTTGATAAAAGAAGTAACATTGCCCCCTCAAGCCTGGCACCCAGTCCCTTAGCTGCAGAATACAATCAAGGAGGCAAGATTCACACAGGCAGTGAGTTTTAATGCCAAGAATTAGGGGTTGTAATACAGAATCTTTTAACTCTGTTAATCTGTTAATTGTTAACTCCAGTGCTGCCCGTGCCACCATGCTGGCACTTAATACAGTTGGGCACAGAGCTCCAGTTTTAAGGAGGAAGGGTCTGGATTCTCTCTGTGGTTCAGAAGGAGAGGATAAACTGGAAGTCTTTAGCTCCCATCTCCTGTCCTTTCCACCACGGTTTGTTTGGGACATTCCTCTTTGGACCAGGCCTGAGGCCTCTGAATTTCTGTCCTCCAGGCTGCCATCTGTACGCCATCAACACTCACCATGGCAACGAGCTGCGGATCATCGCCGCGATTCGAAACAAGCTGCTTCTCGTCACCCGGAAGTTCAGGCGGTGGGAGAGTCTGAACGGTGCCCCCTTGGTGTCTCCCCAGTCAGAGTCTCCTGTGGAGGAGTTTCAGTACATCCGGGTAGGTTTGAGGTAAAGCACCAGCAGATGAGTTGCCAAAATGAGATCGAGCAGTGACAGGTGAGCTAGGCTGATGTTCACCTGCTAGTAGAACAACACGCTGCTATTTGAAAGTCAAATCTTTCTTTGGGAGAGGCCAGGACATCTCCAGGAGTGATGTCTTATGATGCAGTGTGTTCTTTAAATCCTTTGGAAAAGCCAGAAAAGTTATAGACAATAAATGATCCAGTTAGGTATGTTAGACTCTGGACTTCCTTAACTTGTCTATGTTTTATAGCTAGTCCTCGTTTAGTGACCACAATTGGGACCAGCAACTTGGTCATTAAGCAAAGCAGTTGCTAAGTAAAACATCACTCTTTACTTCAGATTTCCTTTGCTTTACAGACCTGTGAAAGTCATAAATGCGAGGACTGGTCACAAAGTTACAAAGTTTTCATCACCGTTGTAACTGCCAACAATGGCTAAATGAGTCAGTTGCTAAACAAGGCCTCCCTGTATTTCATATCATATTCGGCATTTTTCTGTATGTTCCTGCCAAATTTCACAGTACCTTTTTATGGCTTCTGATTTTCTGGTGCAGGAAATCTGCTTGTCTGACCCTCCTGTAGTCATGACATTGGTGGATGGCCCCACCGGAGAAAATGACAACCTGATCTGTGTCGCCTACCGACACCAGTTTGACTTGATCAGCGAGAGCACGGGGGAATGCTACAGACTGCACAATATTGACTCGAGCAGGGTAGGTTCTTGGGCATCACAAACATAGAATGTGTTAGTGCTGGCATTCATGAATACCTTTAGAAAGTGGACTCTGAGGATGCTTGAGCAAAAAAGCAACCTGCCTCTGGCATGGAGTAAGTTGTGGTTGTGATTCAAATATTCAGTGGATATCCAAAATCTGAGGATCAACCAACCAAAATTAATCTTTCTGTCTTGCTGTTTCCTGGGGATTCTTGCACAGAGATCAATAGGTTCAGAGACTTCTCTGTTTGGGGCTCCTTGTGCCCGGAAAAAAGAAATAAGTAATTAATAATACCAGGATAGATAAGCCCATCTGCAAATGAAAAGTTACACTTTGCGTTGTTTGGGTCACTCCTTCTCTCTCAGCCCTGGGAAGAAGGACACGACAAGCCTCTTCCAAAAACGCAGCTAAGAAAACTACTTGGGAAGTCAATAGGGCAGATGGGAAGGAGAGAATCCAGCTAATGTCTCTTCATATAGTTTTGCTGGTGGCGGCCTGCCTGTGGTGCTCCAGATGATGCTGAACTCCCAGCAACCTTCAATGCTGGCCAGACAATGCTGGGAGTTGCAGTTGAATAGCAGAGGTGGCCCACCAAGGGTTAATGCATCCAAATTCAACCGTTGCCAGCAGCTTGAATGTCAGAGTGTCAGCACTCCAGTCACAAGAAACGATGGAATGTGTAATTTCCCAGGCATGTGATGCCCGTGGTAGGGAGCCTGGAGGAAATGACATTTCCCAGGGTCCCTGTGCCCCTGTAGAGAGGAAGGCCTTGCAGAGATCTTTTTGCCATTGCTTGCTGCCGGAGAAATGAGGACAAAGGAGAGGGGTTGGGAGGAAACAGTCCATCATATGGTTCAGAATTAGACTCCTGATGGACCCATTAGAAGATCCTATCTTCAGAATCGGATTTTGAAGAAACTGAGGCATTTTCCAAACTGCGGGGTGTATTAGCTCAGCCCAGCTCCAGCTTAAAGGAGGAGAGGTGTGGCATATCATTTGTGTGTTGGAGACATGAAACTATCGGAAAACACAATTCTGTAGAGTACCTCATTTGGAAGCTAAAGGGGATGGAGAAAGGAAAGATCCTACCCTCTGCCTGAATGTGCCACTACATTGCAGTCAGCTTGGCCTCCAGCCCGCCCACTATCCTTGCCCATTATCATTGCAGGTTAATTTTGTTGCAGCTATTGATGTGTATGAAGATGGAGAAGCCGGCCTGCTCTTGTGCTACAACTGTAAGTACCGCTCTCTCTCCAGAGAGCTCCAGCAGCATCAGGCAGAGGATGAGGCCAAGCCTTATCTGGCATCCACATAGACCACCATGGAGTTGTTGGTTTGGGTTGGAGGTTTGCAGAGATGGGTGGTGAGGGATTAAAAAAGGGGGAAGGTGGGAGAGAAGGCAGACTGCTGATCCCCCAACATTTTCCCCAAGTCACATGACTGGAATGTAGGGGTAGCCTGGCATCTTCTTGAAGGCACCTAGCAGCCAATCACGGGAAGCTGAAATAAATCCCTGTCTTCAAAGCACTGGAGAGATGTTAGGTGATTAGTTAGAAGTGGGTAGCCCCAAACTCCACTTTCATGGTCCAGCGTTCTTCCAGGATTGTGGTCCTGAAATCTGACAGCAGTTCATTGATTTCTGATGGTGCATTCTTTGGAATTTTCTTTTGAAAGTGTAAAATAAAATCCACTTTGTCCTTAATCAATACTTCTATGAGTAAAAGGAACCCTCCAAACCCTAAAAGATTATTTAGAAACTCAACCGCAACTATAAGAAGGTTCTCCCCTTCTGCCTCCTTTTCCTTCTATGGGCGTTACCAAAAGCCTTGATGGCAGGTTGAAGGAGGTGGGGGCCAGGCAACCTTGAATGGTTGTTCTCTCTCTTCCAGTGGAACCCCCAACTGTGAAAATCAAATAAGACCTAAGAAGTTTGGAAGCATGAGCTGTCTATCTCCTAGCATCACTGGCCATCACCCCTATGCCAATTTTAATGCATCTCTTGTGGGGAGGAGAAGCTTCTGGGGAAGACAGCTGGGGGAGGGGCAAGGCCACATTTGATCTTCCTTACTATGAAAGAAGAACTTCAGTGACCAGAATCTGCACAAGAAAACCTTTGCAGTGGTCGAGGAAGCAACTTCATTTCAGCCACCGCTGTTCCTCTGCATCTTTGATGTCATCCAGGTGCTCAGGAGATCAGGAGCTGAAATCTTTCCCATTGCATGCTGTCCAAGACGCAGATTGCTGGCCTGGTGAAATAGTTGACCTTCTTCTGTTTTTCTACCCGTTCTCTTTTTCTTCCTCTTCTTCCCCATTGTTTCTTTTCCTGTTGCAGATGTTTGCTATTACCGCAAAGTGTGTCCCTTTAATGGAGGCTCAGCTCTGGTCCAGCCACTGGCATCAGACTTCCATTTCAGCTGGAACCAGGTTCCTTATGCTGTTGGTAAGAAAACCAAGCTGCTGGTGACTGCCAGCTGGGCAGTTGATCAGGAGCACATGATCACTTGATGACTGCCTGTGCATTTTTCAGCCTGAACAGCTTCTGGGTTGGCTTCTCTGTTAAGAACACCCCCTACCCCCACCCTTTGTCTCCTGCAGTTTGCGCCTTCCCTTACATTTTGGCCTTCACTACCGATTCCATTGAGATCCGGTTGGTGGTTAACGGGAACCTCGTCCATACAGCCGTGGTCCCAGCTCTGCAGTTGGTGGCATCAAGGGTAAGGAGATGGGGCCTGCTCTGCCACATCAAATTTCCTTTCCCCCAGATTGCTGTAACCTTTTTGTATCAGCTCTGGGATGTCCTCGATCAACTCTTTCTGCTTCTCCAGCCTGCCTTTATTAGTGAGTGAATGAATTCATCATCTGTTAAATTTCCACCCCACTTTATTTTGTGGAACTTAAGGGGACATACAGAAGGCCCCCGTTCATGAGGTCCATTAAGGCAGGTTTTTTTTTAAGCTTTGGAATTGTTCTATCTCAGAATATTTGCATAGTGGATGAAGAGTTCATTTATTGCAGAGACCCGTTACAGCATCTCCTATTTGCTGGTTGTTTGGAGATATTCTTTCTCAGCACAACTCCTTACAAGTCTTTATAAAGAAGAGGGACCCCTGAACTGTTTAGACAAGGTAAAGCTATGTTTACTAACTCAACTCACTTCTCCTTCCAGTCAGATATCTACTTCAGAGCTGCCACAGCAGTGAGCGAAGTGTCCAACAGCAGTTCGAAGGAGCCCAGCTCCCCTGGGTCCCCTCAGACACCTTCCGTTCATGAAAATCCCATTTTCTCCCCTGCTGTAGCAGAAGGTAAGGAAGTTGGGCTGGAGGTCATCTCTAGTGGCTTATTGCTAAAGCATTGGCCCTTTCCGACATAAATTCCAGAAGTACAATATTGGAGTTTCTGTTTTACCCCATCATAGAGGTTAGGCTGCGTCAGCTCCAGACCTCCCATGGAGGGTTCAGGTAATAGTTCCTCTTGAGAACTCTCTCCTCTAGGCTTCTTAGCATCTGAAAGACCTACTTTGGTCTGAGGAAGATTGCCTTCCCTGCCAGCCCCTTCAGCAGGGCTGAAAAATGGTCCCTTCCTGAGGAAAGAGAGGAAAATGCACCACATCTAGTTTGTGAGGTGGATCCAGTCTACCAAATCCCTTGCTTGTTTTGAAGGGGATGAGGAAAGGTGACTTCATCAGGAGCTATCACTTCAAGGGACTTGAAGCCTTTGAAGAAAGGATTCCTAAAGGTTTCCTTCAGTTTTCTCAAGGGAGGGGCAGTTAGAGATCCCAAAAGAGTTTGGCTGAGCAGCAAAAGGGGGATTCTGTTTCCCATGGTCTTTCTCCTCGTGCTACCTAGATGATTAATGTATGCAGATGCGTGTATATGAGAGGGAGTGGGAAAAACATGGTTTGGTGACCCACTGCTGATACATAGAACTCAGTGCAATGCAGTTCAGAAGTTGAAAAGAATTCTCTGTCCCTGAGCTACAGGCTCTCCAATTGTTGGGTCCATTCTGAGTTACCTTTCTCAGGAGGAAGGTACATTGTTTCTTCTCTTGGTTAACATGGCCCTGATGGAGCAGGACCAGGAATGGCAGTTCCAGAGGAATCACAAGATAGTAATGCGAGCATATTTGGAAGGCAAAGCTACCAGAAATGTTTGGTAGACCATCACCCCTTTGACAAACATCTTAAGCCATGTTGGGTGTCAGCCTTGTTCTCTTCCTCTTCCTTGTTTCAGGTGAAGTTTTGTGCAGACATATCTACAAAATTCCCCTCAGCAACCTGGTTGGCAGGAGCATCGAGCGCCCACTCAAGTCTCCCCTGGTCCCCAAAGTCATCACCACCCCAACATCTGCTGGCATCACCTCTATCCCAGTTGCACCTTCCCTCTCTTTGTCGCGCATAGAGATCAAGGAGATTGCAAGCAGAACCCGCAAAGAATTGCTCGGTAAAGATTGCGAGAACTCACAGTTTTCCGGATTTCAACGAAACAGGACTTTTTAGACATGGACCACCAACCTGAGCCTGGTTCAGTCTCCAGCTGAGTCTAGAAAAGACCTCTGCTTGAAACCCTGGAGAACTGCTGGTCAGTGTAGCTCAGTGTTTTTCGGACTTAGCAATTTTAAGATGTGTGGACTTTAACTCCCAGAATTCCCCAACCAGCATGAAGTCCACACATCTTAAAATCACCAAGTTTGAAAAAACACTGATATAGATGATATTAAGATAGATAGACTGAGAGTCACTTCCAATGTTCCTCTTTAATTCAGCCATTTATTCAGAACCAGCATCCTACTTTAATTTTTAGAAGGACAATAGCTCAGTTGGAGGAGGCCAAAGACCTTTCTTGGCTTTGTACTAAAATCTCCAAAACTCAGTACCTCTATCTTGGTGAGTCCTATTCTCTTTCTGGTTTTAAGCTTCAGGCAAGCTCCTTCATAGGAGAAGCATTGATCAGGCCCATCCTTATTGTTTTATTATGTTTCTTGACCATTATTACCCACCTTGGAGGTCTTCTGAAGTTAGAAAAGCAAGAAAGGAAACATCTCCCAAGGATTCACAGCTGTTCTTTCCTGGATTCTCCAGGTCTCTTAGATGATCCTACTTCAAAGTCAGAAGGAGGGCAAAAGCAGAAGAAGCTTCCATCAAAGCAATCAGACCCCAAGGAGGGAACTCTACGGTCCTCAAGCAGCGACAGGTAAGCAGCGACTAACAGGAGAGATAGTTGGGGTGATGCTACAAGCCCGCACCCCGATTTTCCAAACTATCTGTTATTTTGGAAGCTGCATGTGAGAGCCTTCTGGTGTAAATTCATTTTCTGTAAAAGCTGTTGCAGGGCATCTACTTGCAGGACCAGGGGAAGTCTAAATATGCTGCCCTCTCTCTGAAGAGACATGCATATTCACTCTATTAGGTAGTAAAGGAGAAAGTTGTTGACTGAAGCTCTTTTTGTAAAGTTCTCCCCTGTGTCTGTTTTAGAGGGCATTCTTGGGGAGAGGAGATTTAGATAGGACAGAGTCATGAGAGGAAAAGGATTTGCAAGCTGGCTGGAAGTAATTGACATTTGAGGGTAATGGCGGATGCAACGTAACCTCTGTGTTCCATTAATGATCCAATGTAGTCTTTCCTACCTTCTTGGCTGAAAGATGCATCTATCTGCGGCCCAACATTCCAGCTTGACAGCAGTTAAATTTCTGTGATGGTTAAACTTTTCTAAGGCTATGACATCCTCTTCACACACCCCTCCCCATTTCTGCTTTCCTCTCCACAGGCTCGTTGTGAGCTCATTTGAAAGCACTTCCGAAGAGCCCCACTTCTCTACCGGTTCAGACCTTGACACTGCCCCGCTGGATGAGGAGCCCCATTCCAGCAGTCTCTTCCAACTTGGGGCCTCCTTTGATGAAGGGATCATTGATTTGAAGTGAAGACAACTGGGACTCAATCTTTGCACGCACTTACCCTGTTCTCTGCCACTGGTTTCCCCCACCCCACCCCACCCCACCCCACCCCAC